GTGATGAAGACATAAAACAATTTTGAGGAATGCGCCCGCTGTTCACTGCTTTGGAGTAGCTGTAGTTCAAGCTGACTTGACTCTAAGAGTTCTACATCACACGACGGTTGATTGACAAATGGTCAAGTGGGACCTAAGGCTCCTTTTATAGCGCGCCTTCGTGTTTAAAGTCCCTATGACACCTACTTTTTAGCATTAAATTATAAAAATAGAAGCATGTAGAGGGTGCCTGGAAAGATTTGTGAGTGATCCTGATGCGCCTTTGTTATTTTACAAGGCGATAAAAGTCCGAAATTGTAACCAACTTAGGCTCCCTGTATCTCCTTGGCCGCGTGAAAGAGTACTGATACCCAAATATTCGTGACGTCATGGTTATGAGACCAAGTTTATCAAAGAAGCAAAGTGAGCCTGGAATATAATCCATTGTTTACGATCTTTTGAGCGAAAAAATGCCGTTCCAATGTCTAGTTTGGGGTTGTTCGAATACCCCTGACTCAAAAAAGAATATTTCGCTTCACGAGATTCCTTTCGAGAACAATCGAAGTCCAGAGGCTATGAAAAAGCGAAAGAGGTGGATTCAGTTTGTGAGCGCAGTGTGCTAACTGGACATCGACTTTGAATTCACACATATGTTCAATGCCGTAATTATTTGCCCACAAGCCGATCCTGGCTATAGGCCGAGACCCTACACTTTTAGCTTTCAGAAGCTGTTGGGTTTTTTATGAAAAATAAGCCATAAGTGGACACCGACTCAGTCGAATTCATGCATATGTTCAATACTGCAATCATTTGCGTAGAAGCCGATCCCGTCTATAAGCCGAGACCAAAACTTTTGTCGAAATTGTAAAAAGGTCCACGCGAGTTGTTAACTGAGACCACTGGTGAGCTCAAAATATCAGCAAAACGAGCTGTATTCAAAGTATCCTGTATTAGATCAAATACTTCTGGAGTGGTCTTCGCCTTTTCGGGGCAGAGTAGTCAGGAGAAATGCAATGTTGGGAAGCAAAGCCTCTGCTGATTTTTTCAGATCGTGTTACTTAGCCAGGGGAACAGCTGTTCGTTCTTTTTGGGAAAGCTATGAGCGGATAAATTTTGTGGCTAAGGTGAAGAAATTGTGCAGCGATCCAAAGTGAAACGGGCTTGAGAAGAAATTCCAGGGAGATGATGGATAAATCATCTAAAACATGGGGGATTTCGAACGCGCTCAAAGACACAGGATGAAATTGCCTGAAGTAGCGGACGATAGAATGGCCTTGAGGCCGACAGCAAAGAAGACGACGAATTCACACTCATTCTTAAGTTATCACTAATAAACGGCTCCATTCTAATAAAAGTAATAGGGTAACTATAATTTTGCGTAGGATTAGTAATTTGTGAGTTGATGATCGCGTGGCTCTTAACCGAATATACATTAGATTTACGGTATTCTCTCGTAAGAATTTTGTTTGTTTTTTTTAAGAAATACTCGGCGTAAGCCAAACCCCCAGTAATGTTAACGTTTGAGTAGTTCTCAGTGTATTTCCGTGCAAAAATCGCTCAGCTTCTAGGAAAATAAATATGGTACATTTCAAGCCGGATCGGCTCTCTCGTATCTTCAAGTACAACCAGCGATTTGGGAGAATTCGTGCATTCTTTGCTCTTTTGACGACGATGGCCTTCTTTAAAATTTAACAAGAACTCGGTGCACCATTGCCAGAACAACACCTAATAACATTCGCAACATAAACTAGAAGACTGATTACAGTTTGCAAATTCCTGCTCGAAAGATCCAAGACGATGTGCTAATTACAAAATTTATGTTTCTGTTTATGTCCAACCATATCAAACAAATTGCATGTTGTTTGCTTCGAAACTTGTTTTACATAAGAGAAATAAGAGCGACATTGATGTAAGATTCGAGAACCCGGCTGGAGAAGACGAAGTCCACCTTAAACATGAGGTCACTTAAGTCGGCAAAAATTTATGTTAACGTACCACTTTCCGTAGATTCGAGACCTTTAAAGTGCTCGTTTGAATTTGGCCCTTCTATGTTGTCCTCCCTGTCCCCCATTTCACCGCTTTGGGTCGCAATTTCGGATTCAATCGCCACGTATTCTGGAATATGATTAAACTCCGAGTCATCGGAGAAGAAACTTTCGTCAGAACAACAGGAAATATCGTACATAATGACACGAAACTATCACCGAAATAGCCATGATAAGAAAATATGCTTACGGCTGTGACGTAACGGCACCCAGTCCCCTCTTGCTCGGCCAGACATTTCTTGATAAAAAATTCAGAAAACGTTAAAATACCGCTAATGTTGCTAAAACATGTTCTAGAGTCATTAAATTTTGATGTAAAGTAATAAAAAAAGGTCATAGCGACTTTAACAATGCTAAATTATGAAAAAGGGCTGAAAACAGACTCCTTATGCAGTGCACAACTGTCAACTTCACAAGTTTTCGTTTTTTGATTAATTCTTGTGCAAAACGTTTTCGACATTTTCCAAACAAAGAAGGCCATAAGTTTGGCTTTTCCAAACTCTCCAAACTGACAATTAATCACGCAGAGGCTAATGTAGTGACACTGTATAATAGCTCTTCTTTCGCTCAAATAATACGAAGAGAATTCAACTCAACTGACGGCAAAAAAATGTGATTGAAATCAACTAGTCTACGACACTGAGTTCATGCAAAAGACAACATCGCACCAAAAAGAGATTCAATAGATAGAACTTTATTTCGAAAATTCTCTTCTTTTCTTCAGTACCCATATTATTCATATTTTTTCTTGAAGGCGTAACGGAAAGTTTTTTTTTTATTTTNGGGAGGTCCTGTTAATCTAAGTATCAACTTTTCTTAGAGAGCCTTAAGCTGAAAGTACGATAATTGATGCCGTAATACCCAGACCTATCTTTTATTTTCGTTTTTCAGGGAAAATGTTGTGGACATTTCGTTATTTTCTTGTCTGTGTTTCGTTAACTAACCTTGTGACCGCTGAGAATCAGTGCAGGACAGAAATTAACATTCGTGGCATGGCTCTCAAAGGTTTCGTTCTCAAGAGAATGACAGTAGCAGCTCCTCATATCTGTGATATCCAATGTGAAAGGGAAGTTACCTGCCAGAGCTATAATTTCAATAGAAAAGAACAGATCTGTGAATTAAACAACCACACGAAGGAAGCAAGACCCAAGAATTTCCGCTCAGACCCAGCGTGGTTTTATATTCGCCGTTTGAACGGAATAGGTAAGTAATCAGCCAAAAATAAATAATAATTATCAATATTTTTAGCATACCCTTGACTCTGCTTTCAGTCCACGTTTTCTGATCTCCCGCGTTCATCGATATTAATTTCTGTATGATCTATTATTATCAGTATTGATATATTTTTACTTCTTTTCTTCGTAGTTTATTTCTAAAAAACTTCTTGCACAAACAGCTTTGACGCATGTGTAAAATATTTACAACAACTATTTAATTATTTAAAACGTTACATGAAGCTTAGGGGAGGAAGAAAACAAAAACAAAAAAATAAAACTGGAAGCTCTGAACAGAGTAATGAAAAGTGAGGAGGCTGTTAAAGTCCTAAATGTATTAACTTTCTTAATTGTAATAAAGTCCCAAATTTAATAAAATTTGGTCCTAAATGTAATAACATTTAGTCCTAAATGTAATAAGCCTCCAATGCAAAAGTTTAACCGCGCTTGTGAATCCACTTTGAGATGTTACAGACCGCTTGTCGCTTACCGTGATGCACTGCTCTTTGTTTATCATGATTCGTCTCCACTGACCGCGGAACGATGCAAACAATGGCCTTCGCACTGAAAATAAAACAGAAGCTTAGTATTCTCTTTAAAGATTTTCCAACAGCGAAAAAACCTTAAAAGCGAGACCTGGAATAAAGAACAACTTACTTGCTACTACTGATGGTGAGTGATTGTCGTTTGTTTCAATCCGTCGCCTCTTTCTGACACTGGATGCAGATTGGTCCTGTTTCCAAACCCCAAGGCTTCTTTCCCTTCCTTCCAAAGATTATACACCGATTGCCTGAACCATATTTTGACTCGGCTTTCATTCCTTGGCAGCCGTCCTTTTCGTTTTGGTGGCATCACTTGTTGAATAGAATCAGGGTTTAAGATCTAATATAACACAACGTAACGCCTCAAACAGACTAAGAGACAACTAATTTACGCGTTGAAACTAAATCTCGATCGAAATATACAATGATTGCTCGGATGGCAAAGGATTAATCCGCCACTAAGACTCGAACCAATAATGGCTACTTTCGTGGTCCCAGAAAGAACAAAACGCGCGCGATGCATCATGGTACGTGACAATGGGTCTTTAAAGTAACAACTGTTGCATCAGAAAATCCTCTGGCCAAAATTACTGGCGTTTTGCAGGCTTGCTCGCTGATTTCAATCAGCGTTTTTTCTTTTTGCTAGAGACGTAGGCCAAGAAGCATTGGCTACAAACCTTCATACTGATGTATTTTTGGCATCAAATTGACAGATGTCAAAACAAAAGAACATTGACCAATCCATCTTGACCGAAGAGGCTTCGTCGAGATATTTTATGTTCTTTTGGCTAAGTCAATGAAGGATTTATTGTTAGACAGAAAAAGATTCCGCTTTTATAAGAATCAAGAATGACTTGTTTATTTTGAGGGTTGAGAAAGAGAGCCAGCTATCTCTGCAGGACAATAAACCCATAAGGGTCATTTAATACTTTCTTTGTTTTGACTGTCTTCCGCCGCTTTTTGCCACCTCGTTGCAGACACCGTCCAAAAGTTTCAACAACCACTCAAGCGAGTACGTCACGGTGTTTTAGCAGCGCAGAAGCAAAATAAGTTAACTTCAAAACAGAGTGGTTAACTTCTTGAATCAGCTTTGCATTTGAAAAGGCTCCGGTTTTTATTTTTTTTTCTTCCTTTAATCCCTTTTTTCTTTCCCTTATTTTGCAACAGCGATTGATTCTTTATGTTATTGTTTAAAATTTTGCACGGGGAATTTGTGCGTAGGTGTCCAGATTGATTCCTTAGCGCATGCCCAACGTTTGACCGCTGGTTTTAGTTGTTGTTCAGCTATGCTGTACAGTCAGAATGCTCAGCACGCACCGCCCCAGTTGTGTCTAATCTTAGTCACCAGACCTCACACTTATGCAACTGCAAAGAAGAAGATTTCCAATGTGTGATTCGTCTTCCCCTTTCGTCGCAAATAAGTCGATGTCTACGTCTGAAACAAACTGAACATCTATTAGCTTATCACCATTATTGAATAAGCCTTTGTAGACGTCATTTTGCAATTCAGGTTCCGTTTCGTTCGTTCGACTACCATATGTCATCCCTTAGCTATATCTGCAGTCATATTCGAGTCACCACCATCGTCGACGATACCATCAGCTCCATTCTTTGCGACAGTGACATCCTGATAATCAACAGTATCATTTATTTCAAAATCCTGCTCTAAATGCATTTTATTTGCATAATGCTCGAATATTTCTCCTTTTCTTGAGTCATTTGCTTCGTAGTCTTATTCACTGCCGTCATTGTGATCCGTAACTTGTTCCAAGCTCACATAGCGTTCGCCATGGTTCTTAGCAAAATGTCCAAGGTATACACGGTAGCTGCTGAAACACTTGCTAACGGACTGAACGCATGCTGCCCACGAACCCCAAGAGAGGACACTATTTGGATGTCGATGTTGTACAAATTTGCTACTTCACATAGCGTTATCTGATCCCCATAGGTCCCATATCGCGCCATATGAATTAAATAGTCGTCCTGGCAAGCAAACTCATCATCTGCCCTGAATGCTCCAAAAGAGGGAAGTTCCACGCTAAATGCATAAATATGGGAAAAAAAACTTCAAATATTATTTAGTGAAATACAATGTAGACTGGACATGTCTTCTGTGCTCCCTACCGAAATGTGGAATATCTTTCTTTGATAAAATCGGTGAGTAATCAACACTCGAGTTGTCTTATGCTAATATGGACGTCGAAGAAGAAAATGTTACCTGATGTTTTTATAACAACTAGTGCTACGGTTGAAACCACACAAAACTTGAATTTCTGCCAAAGGTCTTCATGCATCACTGGAACTACCTAATAAATCTCTAAACTTCTGTCATTTTAATGTTTGCTGGTTGACAAATAAACTGGAAGGAATCAGGCTGTTACTTTCAACTTTCTCTAGTCGCAGGAATTGAAAACCGCACTTAAACCTTGGAATATCTGAAACAGTTCTAAATGGATCTTGGTCCGATGCCTCTCTCCAAGTGGACAACTATGTCATTCATCGAATAAAGGGGCGGATTATTAGTTTACGTCCCATTGCAGTTACCAATCAATAGAAGTACTGATGTCGAAGTGCAACGTATAGAATGTATTTTCCCGGAACTTCACTTTCCTCGTTCAAAGCTCTATTTACTTTCATTTATTTACCGACCTCAATATTCTGGCATAAGTTATTTTCACTTACTGGAGTCTTTACTCAAAAAAAAATAGACAGTGAAGGGAGTCAATTAATCTATTTATTTTGCTGTAAATAGTCGCTTTATCGACCTTTTTCATGCTTATAATTATACTCAGCTCATTTCGGTTGCTAGGTGACCAAATTTAGGAACTCTTGTAGATCCTATATTTACTAATGATAGGGCTAGTGTCTTGAAATCTGATACTCTAGGTGGTTATGTACCTCTTTTTGTCTAAGGGTCCTGGACACAGGACTATTACTTTTCGCTCGACCAAAAACATCGCTAATAACAGTTTCTTTTTTCTGACTTAGATCGTAGTTCTTGGAATACATTCAAAATGATCCTAGTGAAGCATTAGAACAATGATATTGTTTATTTAACTATATAATTGACATACACGTGCCTTTCAAGACACGTCGAGTTAACATTCAACAGTAAACTGAATGGTTTTCTGCCACAATAAGTTCTGCGATCAAAAAGCGTTAGAATTTGCATGGTCAAGCAATTCGGTATAATACCGAATTACATTGGCGAGAGTATTGTGTCGTGCGCAATCAAGCTTAAGTTGTCCATTTAGTAAAAAAAGCTAAGCGTGATTTCTATCATAGTTCCGTAAACTGCAACCTTGATAATTCTAAAAACTTATGGAAAATAATCCGAAACTTGGCTCCTTCTCAATGTTCCAATCTTCCAAGCCATCTATTGGTCGATGGAATAATTTATGACAGTCACATTGATATTGCTAACTTCTTCAATGCTTACTTTGTTAATATTGCTTCCTCAGTTGTGCTTAAAAAAAAACATAAGTACGACTGCCAACTAAGATTATCTGAAGAACTTGGCTAGGTCCAAGCTTCCACTGGGAGCTTGTTTTAACATACCTCCAAATACATCTGTCTTTATGCTTGATAGTCTTCGTCATCTACCTACTGGAGAAGCCGTCGACTTAGATGGACTTAGTCGGTATTTTCTGAGATTAACGGCTTCTTCTATTGCGTCTTCACTAACAACAATTTTTAAGCTTGGTCTCTCATCGGATTTTTTTCCTGATCTTTAGAAAAAGGCTTAAGTATCGCCCCTATTTCAAGACAGTTCTCTCTTTGACCGCTCTAATTATCGACCTATTTCTGTTCTCGCTACTCTCTGTAAGATTCTTGAACGCCATATTCATACTTCATTTTCTAACTTTACTACTCAAAATAACCTGCTCTCCCATCCCCAGCTTGGCTTCAGAAAGTCTTGCTCTTACAAGCTTGCTGTTACTGATCTTATTGATCGCCTTCTCAACAATATTAACAACAAAATCCTACATGGGCTGTTGTTAGTCGATCTTGAAAAGGATTTTGACCTTGCGAATCATAGCATTCCTCTTACAAAATCTATGGCTGTTCATCTTCCACTGTTCAGGGGTTTACTTCTCTCCTCTCTGACCGTTTTCGATGTACTAACTTTAAGGGTACACTATCTGACCTTCTGCCTGTATCTGTTGGTGTCCCGCAAGGTTGCATTCTTGGTCCTCTTTTCTTTCTATTATTCATAAATGACCTCCCTTTATTTCTCCCACAGAACACTACTCTCACTATGTTTGCTGATGATACTTCTATAACTCAATCTAGCTCTGCTATCCACGAGTTAAATGCTCGTCTTTATCTTGACGCCTCTGGCGTGTTTGCATGGGCTAATTTAAATGATATGGCCCTCAACACGTCCAAAACTAAATCTATCTTGATTACGTCTCAACAGAAATTTCATCTTCTCGGAATAATCATTCTCTTAATGTCATGATTAATGGGAAGTTAGTTGGACAAGTTCAGCATGCTAAACTGCTTAGTGTTACTCTAGATTGCCATCTTAAATGGGAGAAACGCAGTGATAATATATGTTCAATTGTAAAAAGTAGATTGCCTCTTTTGAAAACTGATCAAATCATTTCTCATTCATCACGGTGCTCTACGTTTCTACAAGTCTTGTATTCATAACCTTTTGATCTATTGTTCGAGTGCATGGGGTAGCTGTTCTAGCTATCTATTGTCTCGTCCTCTTCGCATTCAAAAATGTGCAGGCGGACTGCTTCTTTATGGTAACCTCTCTCAACCATCTGTAAGCTTATTTTCTAAATTCATATGGTTTCCTATTTTCGACCTTATAAAACTAGGAAAACTTGTACTCTTATTCACTATTCTTCATAATCCTGATACTTCTCTTTGTACAATGAATACATGAAGTTCATATATTTCATATGTACTTCATATATTTCATATACTTCATATGTACTTCATATATTTCATATATACTTCTCTTTGTCTTAAACATAAATTCAGTTCTTGTCTTCCGTTCGTTGAACTGGTTTGTGCACCAGAGCTTGCGCTTTTTTTAATCTTGAAGTTCCTCTCCCGCGGTCTACTTCTGGGAAGCGCACATTTGCTTACTCTGCTGCCACCCTTTTTGGTTGCCTTGACACTGATTTTAAGCAAATATCTTGTGTATCTCCTTCTTCTATTATTTTTTCATCTAGATTAAATAATTTCAAGTGTAAACTTCTTATTTTGTTCCTTAAATTTGCCAGTAATGTTTCTCATCTTGAAGAATTAATATGTTATAATTTTCGTTTTTTTCTTTATTGTAATTGTTTTAGAAGTGATTGTTTATATCATGTTATATCTACGTTAAAACACGCAATTGTCTAGTTTCTCTCGTAGTAAGTAGTATTCCTGATTAATCATTATCTTATATGTATAATTTGTACCGCTGTGAAGGCCGTAAGTTACATAACTCATTGGGTCAATTATGTCACCTTCGTTAGATATATATATATCTTACTAACTAAGCGCGAGGGCCGTACTGGGAGAATATCGGCCCGAGGTCTTGACAGTAAGGACCGAGCGCAGCGAGGTCCGTACAGAAAAGACCGAGGGCCGATAGTCTTCCAGTACGGTCCCGAGAAAGCTTGGTTAATAAGAGATTTATTATACGACTGAAGTTCAAAGGGACACAAGTGTGGTATCATTCGGGACCATTCGGGACCATTCGGGACAGTGCCCGGTCCAATACTTCGAGAATATTGGACCGGCAATAGATCATTTTCATTGGTTGATTTTAGTTATTGGTCCTCTGATTGCCCGAGTCGTGTAATAATACAATATTATTGGGGTTATAAGCCATGCATTAGTTTACTACATTATAAGCTAAAAAATACGTACAGTTGTCATACAAATTAAATACTACAAAGTTACTTGTGAGTTAAAACAAGACATAATAATCAAATACAGGTAGAGCAGACTGAAAAGTAGAGAGGAGAGAATTGTGATATACGGATGTGAGCGAAGTACTACAGTTATAATTTTCGATAATCATTGGTATTGAATTTCAATATTAGTGAATGGGTGTCAACATAATAGTCCTCAACCCCAAGTATAGTCAAAAGCAACTCATGAATTTTCGTTTTAAATGCTCTTTTCGTGAGCTTACGCAAGTCAGGGTTTAAACAGTTTCATAACCTCGTACCAAACGCAGATAAAGACTTAAATTTCACATGCAACCTAGATTTCTGTACATAAGAATTCTCTCTGTGGAAGAAAAACGCGTGTTATANTCGGGACCATTCGGGACAGTGCCCGGTCCAATACTTAGAGAATATTGGACCGGCAATAGAGCATTTTGATTCGTTGATTTTAGTTATTGGCCCTCTGACTGCCCGAGTCGTGTAATAATGTATTGTATTGTATTGTATTGTATTGTATTGGGAGAATATTCTGAAGACGCTGTAGCATCAAGGCAGTTTTACATTAAAGAAGCTTTGTTGATCCGAGATTCTTGGTACCTTCTACATACTGGAGCTCAAAATTTCAATATAACTGCTTATTGAGAATGTGTCCCTAATTAGATTTTTTTTGCCAATCATCATTAACACAACAATTACTCTTTCACCGACCGTGTACATAGAGACTAATTCTATTTGTATGTTTTGAATTATGAAACTTAGATTAAAGAAATTCAAAACAAGCAATTCGTCATGTCCTCCTGTTACGATATCTTCTCAACCGCCAGAAATATACAACTCGTACTAACTCAACTACTTTATTAACTGACGTAATAATCTTACTATGGAGCGATACCAATACGATAAGTAGCGTCTTATCCTAGAGCCCTCTTATAAAAATTATAATCTCAGTGCACTATTCCACAACTCACAGTTTCCTTCAATGATCCTGGTAACTAGTCGACGTCCATAATACTTTTCCCAACGTAGCCTTCCACGCGGTTGACGATTCCAATAACAGTAAATAACTCCAACAACTCTCTGTAGTAACACTGGCTCCTCTGAGCTCTTCGCAATAACACTAACTCACTGAAAAAGGCCTAACTTTAACCGATCGCGACTCCTTATATATGTTTTAAAAAATGTTATAGAATGTTCCAGGGATCTGTAATACGACTATTTTTAGTATCATTACCTTACTATTGCATCACAACAAAATATGCTGACTAAGGGTTCTAGAGAGTTCCATTAAAAGTTTCCAATGAATCAGCATGACTAAGCGTTCTAGACACTTCTTCAGTTCTATTTTTAACAATTCCGTAACGCAACGCATTCTCCATAACACTTCGTACACATTAAAACTCAATGGTATTATGATTCATTTATCAGATAAATTGTAGAAACTTTGTTGTTTTGCGGGGCAGAGTAATTGAAAAAGTTTGCCTTCGTTTCTGTTCGTGCTCTTATTTGAATGCATTTGTCTCATGTGGTTCACATATTAAAATCACATGTCTCATGTGGTTCACATATTAAAATCTTTTGAAATGACAGTTTTTAATACCGAATAAATACAAGCTTTTTGCCTAAGGAAAAAAATTAATCACTACTCGCCAATAATGATGAGGTTTATTCGTCAACTTGCTCTAGCTGATATCTCAAGGTCAATTTAAAACCAAGCAAGAAAACTACTTAGAACGTGAGTTTCTTTTACAACCAATAAATTGCTGATTTCTATCGTGTTCCTTCTGCACGCTGTAAATGTGAATGCTCAAGGTAATTACTTTGTTATCAGTCCTTCAGTTCAAAAACCATCTCTGATCAGTAACAAAAACACCCTCCTGAAGCTATTTTAGAAATATCATATTAAGCTTCATAAAGCTTAACTTATCGATCAATTCTGTTTGGAGATGTTTAAACGTCAAAGCTAAGTCAATTAAAAATGTTTTTTTTTTTTTATTTTTATCATACTGTTAGACTGTGTCTAACAGTGTAGTAATGTGTCTAACAGAATAAGCTTAAATGCTGGCTTTAAGATTCGTTTATCCTTGCCAACCAAATTGATCTATTCCAATAAATTAACTGCATCATGACTGAATAACCGTCAATGAAATCAAGGTATAAAATCAATCCTTACCTAGCCTCTTTTTAAGTTGCACGTTTTTGCTGATTCTATTCTTTGTTTTATATCATCATACAGAAGCAGGTGCATCAGGGATTGACGTCTCAGGTCAGTAAACTTAAACTGAAATCGATATATTCAGTCTCCTTCTCTTAACTTACTTTATTGAACACCTATCTGTTGAGGAAATCAGTTGATTTTAATCTAGCGATTTCCAAATATGTTGGCATCACTGAGTTTAAGCAAGATGCGAGGCTTAACTATCATTATAAACCTCAGGAGATTTAATAAGTTTTCAGATCGCTTTGCGGTAAATTGGTTTCCTAGTGGAGCCTCAAATGGTTGTGTAACGAGCATGTAAAGCCATCACTCGCCGGTGAACTGTAAATAACGCCGCCCAGTTAGCCCAATGGATAGTGCGCTGGACTGTTGTGCGGGAGGTCGAGGGTTAGAGACCCGGCCGGACCAACACTCAAGGTCTTAAAATAACTCAGGAGAATGTGCTACCTTTCTATAATATCAAGAAATGGATAAACATTCTAGTCTTCTCTGATAAGGAAGAATAAACCGTTGGTCCCTCTTACATCTTTTAATTATATTTAGTTAATTTGGTTAGGCAGGGAACGTTAAAGAACCCACTCACGAGATTGCTGTGATTTGGTCTAGCCTATTCACTGGGTCCGCAGTAATTGGCGCAAGCTGATGCGGAGTCCCTGCCTGTCGGCGAAGCTAATAAAAAATTGAATTAAATTAAAATAATTGACCCAAGCGTAGGAATATGTGAGTAACCGAGTCGCTCTTGGTTTTCTTTTTTCACGTGATAGGTTCAGAGGATTGGTGGACCAATTAGAGTAAAGAGAAGCAAAACAAATACAGTCCGAATAACTTTCAACACTCGATTAGATATTCCTCTAGAGCTGTAAAAACGTGGCCATTATGTACCCTGACCTAACCTTAGGAGATTGTTTAATCTGGACAATTTTCCTCATAGCGTTTTAATGAAACTTCCACGATAGAAACCTCAGAGTAATAACGAAAAAAATATCCATAACTTGCTGAGAATTAACTCCTGCTTACTGACCAATGTAGGTGTTCTTACTGGATGAATTTTCTCATTTACAATCCTTCTAGCTCAAGTTGAGCTTTTAGTAGAAAGTTACGGGTAATAGACTTCCCATTTTGCCAGCCAATTTTATCCAAAGGGAGGGTTAATAGTGAAATCGAACACTTTCGAAATTTAGCTGAAAGATAGTGGCGGACGAAAGCACCTAGCAAAAAGAAGCCAGCTCCTTACTTGTGCTCAAGCGCTCTGCCGTGAGTATCACAAGTCAAGTTAGCTTACAGTGCAGGCGTCTTTTTAAGGCGAGTTAGCGTTTTAAGCTTGTGATTGTTATCCGAACTCCATGTATGATCTAGGGTCAAAGTGGACGGTAGAAATTACTAATGAATTACTCAACCAAATAGTTTTTTTCCCTGTCTGTTTTTCTTGCGGAGCAAAAGTAGAAGACATTGGATGTTATGTGGTGGTTCCAAATTAAGATAATCTCTGATTAGTTAGTAAAAGAAGACGAAGTGCCTCTTAGGATTTACTTTTTCCGTTCAAAAGGTGGAGGGAAAATTAGAAATAAAATGAACATAAAAAAGAGCGTGCTGTTATCAGTTTTAGAGTCTTTACTAGTTCAATATTCTTCCGATATGGATCTAGATTGTGAGCCTGGTCTCCTTCAGAAACTAGCTTGTGGGAAGTTGCTCACTGTGTAGGTGCTCCCATACAAAACGATGATCAACACCCTTCCCTTGATTTTAGCGTTTAGCTGGAGAAAGACTATGTCGGGCTAGTGCCTTCCTGTCAAACGCAATTCCAGTTCGTAGCTGGCCTGCACTTCTATTTCAGTGACACCGGCACTGATTGAGAGGCTGGAACAGGCTATGCTGGAAAATAGAGTGACTTCCGCAAATAATTACTGTTGACGTCTTTCATAGCGCAGTTCCAATCGAACCTTTGCCATAAACGACTGATGCAGGCATTGATGCCGCCAAACGGCCACTTAATTGAGGATGTAATTCTGATATAATAAAGCGCACGCGTTTATAATACTTGGGGAAGGATTACATCTTTCATCAGTTCTTACGCCAGGTGTATCTTTTAAGTTCTTACACCAGGTGCATCTTTTAAGTCAAGTCACAAATGAAAACAGTGAAAAAGAAAACTTACCAAAAAAAAAGAAGTTATGCCAATATGTTTTCCGCTTCGGATGCAGCGATAACCCTTGAGGTACAAGTTTGAGGACTCTGGCATGGCTTAAATGACAGACAGACAGACATCTATATTTATACAGGATAGCCCCTTCAGTGTAGTAAACACTGGTATCATTTGGGGTGGCTTTATAGCTTCACCCCCATCCTAGACTCAGCACTGCACTGATGAGGCCCAGAAGGCCGAAACAGTGTAATGTTGGTCGTGACTTTTGGATTACCAAGCAAATCTTCTAACTAGAGGTTAATTTGCCCTTTGGGCCTTCATTTACTTGCTTTTGATTATGGAATCTACTGAGAATTTAGAAGGGATTATCGAAGATATTTCTAACGCCGCGGATGAAAATGCTGGAAACTCGTCTATTGTCCTGTGGGGAATCATATGCGTCAAGAGCTGCCCGTACTTCTGGCACAAGTTCCATAATAGAGCACAACACGTGTTGCCTGTAGAGAATAACATGCCACAGCGGCCGAGAACCGCTCTCTTTACTCCAAACAAATTAACGACTGCCCGCTCTGTATTCGACGCGCTGGCATTTTCGAAGATCGACCCGACTGACATCCAATGTTTGCAAAGAAAACTCAACGGCGAAGTGGTTGTTACCTTTAAGTCCATAACTTCCAAGGAAAACTTCCTTCGTTTAAATTCCCTACACATAAATTCGGAAAATTACGCCCTTCAAGATGTGGACAAGTCCTTAACTTTCCTGACGATTTACGATGCACCGTTTGAGCTGTCAGATTTGGCTATAATCAAACGACTGTCACCTTACTGCGAAGTGCTACATTACCGCCGTGGTCAACATTCTTACGCCCCTAATATCTATAACGGCCTACGTCATTATCGTGTACGTATGTGCAAGCCCATCCCCAGTTTTCTTCGCTTCGGCAAATTTCAAATCTTTGTCAAGTACAGCAGCCAGATTCCTACCTGCCGTAAATGCAATTGCCCCGGTCATTTTGCTAATGTATGCCCGAATAAGATATGCTTCAATTGCGATGTTACTGGACACGAAGCGCGAGAGTGCCCACGCCCAACTCTTTGTTCTATTTGCAAGCAAGAAGGACACTATGGTGTTAATTTCCAATACTCATGGGTCTCTACAGCGGTCCATAGCACCGCAACGAATGAATTGGAAGACGTACACATCGACACGTCTAATGACCATCAATCAATTGATGAAAATCTTCCAAACGCTTCTGCTCTTCTGCCCAGGAAATATAGTAACGCAAATTCTTAAGCTCGAAAATCTTGCGCCCGAGAATCTTCCATCTAGGGACGAAAATCTTGCGCCCGAAAATCTTCCATCAAGGCCGTGTCCCATCGATGGCCGGGATGTAGTTTCTGGTCCCCTGCCATCGGCCAACAAGGCGGAGTGACAACTTTGATTTCCCGTAGAATTTCAGATGAAGTCATATCTTGGAAGAAAGACTCGCACGGCCGTATCGTCAGTATCCTGATAAGGACCAACGATGTAAAGCTGAACTTAGTAAATATTTACGCTCCCACCAATCCATCTGAACGAAAAGTGTTTTTCGACTCTCTACATTACTTTTTTATTCCATCTTCGGCGACTATCATTGGCGGGGATTTTAGCTGTTATGATAACGCTCTAGACAACTTTGGGGGCAATGTCTCTATTCATAAAGATTACGAGTCATTGAAAAGTGTTTTCACTCTTATCGATGTATGGCGTAAATTGCACCCTACTCAAAGGCAATTTACGTGGCTCAACTCCACCTCAACAATTGCGAGTAAACTCGATAAATTTCTCGCCTCTAAGGATTTGCTCTCCCCTGAGACGAAGTGTGAAATTGGTTCGAGATGACTTTTCTGAAAGCTACAAGAATGATGAGTTATAGTCAATTGTCCTTCAAGCCATTTAAGTCCGCGATTTCCTAAAACATTGGGGCTATATTGATTCTCATAAATGTGCCTACTGCTCTCGAAAAGAAACAATTGATCACTGTTTCCTTAAATTTTCCCGTGCTTAAAGTGCGGTCTTGTTTTTCTCCTGTGATCTCTTCCCTCCTTAGTAATATCTTCCCCTCTTGTACTTCTGTTTTCTTTTTTCAGTGGGCTCCAGTCAGCCCCAAAAATGCGCGACTGGCCCGTTTTCTGCTCGAACCGATCTTGTATGGCATTTGGAAGTTTCGCAATAATGCTACTTTTCGCAATAAAAATGAAAATCATGAGGGTATAATCCGTTATACCACTACACTATCTGGACAACCATGCTGGCAACACGACAATCAAAGATGTGATTTACGTGATCAGAGACATGGTCTCCCGGGAAATTAAACTTTTCAAGGTGACAGGGTAGGGGAAGCCTAAAACCCCATATGAAACCCAACTAAGGATGTATTAAAGATACACGATCACGATCGAAGTCAACTTAGCGGATCACAAAGGAGGATCCAATTACGGATACAAGCTAATTTCAATTAAACAAATTAGTTAGTTAGTTATATATAATTAGTCAGTGAGTTATATATATATATATATATATATAACCAAAATAGCGGAATGAGATCATCATCTACTAAAAGGTGCTCAATAGCAGGGCTAGAGCTATGGATAATTATACCTCAAGATTTAGGTTATTTGAACTTTTACTGCAACTCTGAGTTTCATGCCTCTTCCGAAGATGTCGGTTGCCTGACGATTGCTTCGCAAGAGGCATGAAACTCAGAGTTGCAGTAAAAGTTCAACATTG